TTCTAATACAATGAAAATTACCAATTTTATCATTGCTTTGCTCCTTTGTCGCCCTTGACATGTATCTTCTCATTCTCTCACTTATGCTTTCCAACACAATGGAAATTATCCATTTCATCATTTATCTACTATTTTACCACCATTTCTAATACAATGGATCTCATGCATAGTGCCAAACCCGTTAAGAAATATCCAAAATGTTATCTGTATACAAATGCTTTCTAAGATCAATGGTTAAAATGACTTTGGGCGATTGAATCCTGTGGATCTAGGCGATGAAAATCCTTCCTAGAACATTGAGAAGTGGCGCTATATAATCTAAAAGAACTGTACCAGATGATACAAACCATGTCACTTGAGGAATCTCAGCAATAGCAGCATCTAAAATGGATGTTACGTAGAACTCAAATAGAAAATAATGAATTGGGCAAGATCTTGACCTACACACTACTTCAAATAAAAAAAAAATTTAGGAAGGAAATCCCCATTTATACTAGAAAGACTCATAACAGCTCCTCGACAAAAGAAACCTATATTTTCTGAAATACATTTTTAAGAGAAAATCGCCCGGAAGTAGTACAAGATTCTCGATCAATAAATGTCAAATCTTTCCTCATAAAGTAATATTACCATTGCCATTACCATTTTGAAGAAGAAAAATTATGATAACGAGGAAATCCATTTTCAAGACAAAAAAAGAAAAAAAAAACGATATTAATGCTCGGTCGACTTCAATCCAAACTACGACATGGACGACATTAATCAAGCGTTTTTGAAATAATGTCAGCATTTTGCTGTATACCCTCATTTCTCACAAGGAATCCCTATTTGTACTGTATTTAACCAGCTCAGTTTGTTGGCTAGAGGTTCTTTGAAAGTATGCTAAGTTATTTTCAAAATGTGTTGGCGTTGTCTGCTGAAAATATTTACTGAATCCAAACCAAAGATTCTTGGCATTGTGGTGAAGCAAAAGCCATTATGACGTATGTTCTTTTGTAATAGTAACAGTAATGATGTCATTCCTATCATCATTAACATCTTCGGAATGAGCGTCACTATCATCATCATAATCATTAACATCGTCGTCGTCAACAAGCACGTAATCAAATTTAACAAGTGATGTGTACGTGGATGCGTGCGCATGTGTCTGTTTGTGTGTATGGCTATACATAATGTTTTTATCTTTTATGAATTTAGAAACCGTTTATATATATATATATATATATATATATATATATATATATATATATATATATATATATATATATATATATATATATATATATATATATATATATATATATATATATATATATGTATTTATTTAGGGCAGCAACCCTTTTTTCATGCACATTTCATTGAATACGACAGACAAGGTGCTTTTATTTAGTTTTTATACAATTTCTCATGCGATCTAATATTTTTTTTCTTTTCGGATGATAAATTATATAAAAATTGTCCGAATATTGTTTTTATCCGAGCGCTTTCGGCTATACATTTAGCCATTTTCAAGGATTAAATATTTTAACCCTTAAATAAGAAATATTTTGTTGTATTTATGTTTTATAAAATGTTTTAATTTTTGAAATTACGGTCAAGATATTGTGTCCATGTTCAAAGTTAATATTATTAAGTGCTGTTTTTTTTTGTTTTTATTTATAAGGCTTCCATTATTTTTAACCTTTTTTTGCATGCTATTATATTAGTGTTGTCAACAAGTATGTTACGAATAGAGTCTGGTAGGTCTCCATGAGTATTTAAATGAGATCTAATTGAGTTATGGTCAGAAAGATGTCGTGTGTCTTCGTGTCAAACATATTGTATTGTGGCCTATATAATTATTTACGAATTTTGATTGATCTGGAATACAATTCCTTAATGAGTATTTAAATTCGTAAATAATAGTTTATATATATATATATATATATATATATATATATATATATATATGTGTGTGTGTGTGTGTGTGTGTGTGTGTGTGTGTGTGTGTGTGTGTGTGTTCAGTTAAAAAACTCGAATTGCAGCGGTGTGTGTGTTTAGAATTTAAGCATACACCTCCGCCGATTTTTCTCAGTTTATCATATATTCTCTGAAACTACCCTAACGTAAACAATGACAATATATTATATGAAATGGATTTAATTTGGCAAATATTTTAATATATTTTCTGTTTATATTTTTTTTATATGGATACACTTATTTGAGTCAATGGCCCAATTTCAATTAAGTAATATTAATTACATTTACCCGCCTGAATGTTCGACAAATTTCGTTGAAAATATGCATTCTTCGACAGGAATCGCACCTGTATCCTATACGTCATTAAGCCTCACGTGCTATAACGATTAAGCTACAGAGAACTTCCGGTTAGAAAATTCTCGAACATTTTGGAAATGAACTGTGTAGAAATTGTCCGTTAAAATTCAGTTAAAAGTAGAAATAAAATAATCCTAGATAATGGCTAAAAGTAAAGCCGAAAGCGCTCGGACATACAGAACATTCGGACGATTATCTACTTAATTTATGTCCAACACCAAGCAATGATAAACTGTTTCATGCTTCAACGCAATTTTCAGGCCATGTGTGTTTTGACACGACTATATGCTGGTCACAATGCATTATGGTTAAGAAGGTCTATTTTATTATTCTGGCGGTTATTGAGTTGCCGGTAAGTGTTATGTTTGAAATTCACCAAGAGGTTATTAAGTAGAAATACTTGTAGATTTGAATGTGGTTATTTATTAACTTTTTGTTCATTATTTCTTATTAATTACTTATTTATTTGTTGATGATTATTATCATTGTATTTATTAATCTTCATGTGTTCATTCGTAGTTTTTTTTTAATGTGTTCATTATTTAATTAATTTGTATATTTGGATTTTTCGTTTTATTTTTTCGGGGGTTGTATATGGTGCATATATTTGTATTTTAATTGTTGTATTTTACAAATTAATAATTTTTCTAGCTTCCAAATTTTGGGTAACGTTGTAAAACATTTGAGATGAGTTCTGATCGTTTATTTAGTAATTTGGGAAGGAGATTACAGCTATTTTCTCCTCCAGACAAAACTTACAGGTTTTTGATTAAAACTGATGATGTTTTGCTTTGTCTTTGGCGTAATTTGTTTTTTGTTTTTAATTTCTCACATATGTTTTGTTATCTACTGATTTTACTTGGTGTTGACCTTGAGTAATTGATTTCTGTCAGGTTGAAAGAAACGAGTTGTAAATGTCCTCGTGAAATAAAGTCTCACAAAATATTTTTGTTTTGTTATTTACAACACCACAGAATAAATTGCGTTAGTATGAGAGAAGTAAGATAATGTGTCTACATAAAGAGAGTGTTACGTATTTACGTTTTTTGATGAATAGGTGTAATTTTAGAGTAGTCAGCAGGCAAAGTTCTATGACTACTATTAATACATTGTTTACATAACTCCGCAGGTTCTAAGTGCACTTAATTTACTTTAAAATTCTTGAGGTTATTATAAGAGACTAATTGGATAAAGTATTCAAATGTTGAGTAATTAATTATACGAAAGGTGTGAGAATTTAGGTGTGCCCAAAACAACAACCTTTAGGGTAGGTTACTAAATAATCACACGAAGGTTGGTAATGAACGATGATAATATTTAAGACAGGAACAACAAATATAAGATTCGAGACACTGCCCTTCGCCATAGCCACGTCTCGGAGGCAGAGAGTTTGACCAGCACAGCGGGAGATGAATCTCTAACTGCAGAATATCTACCAACCGCCCCACAATGCCGAATTTAATGTGGGGTATACGAATCCGTTGACTCGGCCAAAAATTACCCGTAGACCCCGTCTAAAACGGGGTCAGGTGGCTGTTTCCGGAGTCGAGACTCTGCCCTTCGACATAGCCGCGTCTGGGAGGGAGGGAGTTTGACCAGCACAGCTGGAGACGAATCTCCGACTGTAGACCAACATACAGTATTTACTACTGTATTTATTTAAATGGAGGCATGCCCATTATCGTCCGTACGTATGCTACAACAAAATGCGAATGTGGAAATTCGAATCTAAAACAGATTTTTTGTACAAAAATGAGTCAATTTTGTGTTTTAGTGATATTACTTATATCTATGGGCCTTTTCTACAATTTTTAACGGAGTTCCACACACATAAACACACACGAATACACACATTATATATATGGAGAGAGAGAGAGAGAGAGAGAGAGAGAGAGAGAGAGAGAGAGAGAGAGAGAGGAACACCCCCCCATACGTATGTTTTATGCATATTTCTTCATATCAGTGATTTAAAGTAACTTACACATGAAAGCACAATTGTGTGACTTTATATTTGAAAATGTTGCTGAATGTTGCTACGTTAAGTAAGTTGACCTTCTGCAGATCTAACGTTACCGATCAATACATTAGCATAAATTTAGCTTGATTTAAGTTTGAAATGTTTTCTGTAAATTCTCCATCCAGGTACAGAGGGTCATTCTTTGTATGTCAGATTTGTTGCAAATCGTTGTAAGTATTCGTCAGTTACCAAGTTGGTGGCACGCCAATATGCACATCATCGTGCTGAATGAACCGAGGTAATCCATAGACTCACCAATTCTTTTTCCTTCAAGAAAACCAAAATATCTATGAGTGGCTACTGAAAAAACTTCGTTCGAATATTTGCCCAAATAAAAAAACATAAGAATTTTCTGGAATGCATTCTCTGTTACGATGAGACGAGAATTTTCCAAGTCATTTCTCGTGTTCGTAACAAGTAGAATATTCTTCTCAGCCTGTGAAGGTGGCCGTAGGCCTTCCCCAGATTCATGGAGAGGAATTGGCCGCAATGGCTGAAATCATGCTGTTATGGGCGGATTACACACCCTTGAGCAATCACGTCTCTTTTCGATTCATGATCGCCCAAAGGTATCAGTGCGTAATTTGCTAGAAACAGCAATTTCAATTCGACTTTCCTATTCCTTATTCAGTACGGTCATCAATCACACCCCCTCTGCACATCCAAGCATACGGCACCGGGTATTCTGAAGCGGTCATCCATCTAGGTACCGACCAGGCACGATGTTGCTTGATTTCGGTGATCTGACCAGAACCGGAGCTTCAACGTGATATGGCCCCGTTCTCTTCAATCAACTTTAGCTGCATCATGGGATAAGCTCAAAATAGTATTAGAACTGGAAGAAGTTAGATTATGCAATATAATTGTTTTTTTTTTAACATTTTTGGAATTGAAATTTATGCCAATAAATCATTCAGAGACATGCACTTATTCAGTTGGGTTTATTTAATGATGGTTCAATTTTAAATAAACACATGCAAATTTTATAAGCTGTCATGTATATCGAACAAACGAAAAATATATATATATATATATATATATATAGTGAGCACTTTATTTAGTTATTTTACTTACACGTATCGGGGCTTTTTCTTTTGACTCTGGAATTGGATGCTAGACGATTATTTTCGCCTGACGTACATGTTCTTTGTTCTTTCTTTTTTTGAACCTTTTTTTCCCTTTGGTATTGGTTTGATTATTTTTCGGACGAGTATAATTTCTTATATTTATAAGATCAAAACTATACATATATATATATATATATATATATATATATATATATATATATATATATATATATATATATATATATATATATATATATATATATATATATATATATATAATATATATTTATATATATATATTATTTAAATTGATTTAAAATATGTTTTTTTCCACAGTTCCAACCATGTTTCAAAAATAGAAGCTAAAAACCCCGAATTTAATTTTGCAATTAAATTAAAAGCATTAGTTCCATTTCATCTTCAAGCGAATTTTGGAGTAACTTTTAAAAATTACTTACTGTTCTTTCTTTATATATATATATATATATATATATACAAACAAATTAAAGAAAGCACAGATGGTGTAAAATTCCACTGTTTTTAAAAAGTGCTCAATACCAAGTAGAGTAATATATTATTCTTATTTTATTAAACAATGTGTACTTTCCCGGCACTAATGAATTAATATTAGCACAAACCCCTGGGTACATTCCCCAGGCAGCACCTCTATTCGGGATGGGGCTATCTTTGCTGAGATCCTGAGGCGTCCCCTAAAAGGGAAATGATGATAGGGCTTGAGCAATTTTTGAACGGATTCACACATTAAACCTCGACAATTCTGGCACATTCTATAAGCACGCTAGCCTGCGGAAAAATACATGCATTAAATAATCGAAGGAAATTGAAATGACTTTTTTGTTTTATTTTTATAAAAAAAAATAGCGTAACATACTTTGTGAATACCACAATAGGATATATGTGTGTATGTGTGTGTGTGTGTGCTTGTGTGTGTGTGTCTTATATTTAGGCAGTGAATATTCAATCAAACAATTTTTCTTAAAAAGAAACAACATCCGTCTCTTTAATATTTTACTCAATTTTCGAATAAGATGCTGAATCTTGTGCTCTCTCTCTCTCTCTCTCTCTCTCTGTATATATATATATATATATATATATATATATATATAATTCTCAAAATTTTGCGTATGTATATATATATATATATATATATATATATATATATATATGCGTGTGTGTCTATGTGTGTGTGAGGTCAGATGTTGTTTATGCGTTTCCAGAGTTTTCATCCGATTTCGATGAAATCATTTTTGTTTGATAGATAATTCTTCAGTGCCGGTTTTGAGTCCAGATTGGCTGGAAATATTGCAACCTTGAAGATGAAAATCGAAAAAAAACTGATTTTTTACACTTTGCACAAAAATCAAAGGCAGAATTTAACATTTGTAAAAAAAAAGCGTACAGTTAATTTAGGGTTTGAAATCTAACGCAAAAGATTATTAGAATAATATATAATATATATATATATATATATATATATATATATATATTATAAATAAAAATTATCATATATTATTATTATTATGACGATCCATGAAAGAGGTTCTTTCCTTACAAGTTTGAGAACGCAAAAACTGCACTTTTCAGAGCCACCCCTAATTCAAATTGTTACATCCCCCCATTTGGGAATGTGCTTCAGTTACACCCAATTCTTTTTACTCATATTGATTTTCGGTTGGGCTGACTTTAAATTTAAACTGTTACAATTGAACGGCAAAAATTCCCAGCAAAGAAACACCAGGTCGAAGACGTGCTATACTGCTAATATATATATATGTATATATTCAAACCTAGAGAGCCAGACAACCGTACCAAGGTTTCACCAAAGCGGATCGTTGGTACGGTTGTCTGACTCTCTAGGTTTGACTAGGTCTGCTCTACTTTTGTATTGAGCACTTTTAAGTTAGTTGATTAATCGTATCGGTTTTCTTTTTCTTTCGGCTTTGAAGCTGTATGCTGTACGATTATTTTCGACAGACGTTCATGTTCATAGCTATATCTTATTTTTAAACCTTTTTTTCTTTCGGGATTGATTTCACCATTAGCAGATCAAGAAACCGAAGGTTTTCCGAGACGAGTGTACACACACACACACACACACACACACACACACACACACACACACACATATATATATATATATATATATATATATATATATATATATATATATATATATGAAGCATTGAAGTCAACACAGAGTGGCGAGAGTCAATTTTATGCTTATACACAATTGTCAGGCGATCGATTGCGTATAAGCATGAAACAGAAACAATGGCCACATTTATATATACATACGCTCTATACCTGATATTTAGCACATAAATATAGCATGACTTTAATATTCATACATTAAATATAATATAATCACTTCAGGATACCGGCTCATTTAGTGAGTGATTATTTAATGTGTGCTGTTAATTTTTTTATAATAATAGTTTCTAGTGTTTGTTAGATTTCAGAATATTTTTTAACCCTTTTTAAATTTAACAATTTTGAAAAACTAACGATATTTTTTTACATCTGTTTATAAGTACATGTCGCAGATTAAAATCTTTACATTTGCGTCGGCGAGTCGACTCTTTGTTTATTTAATAAACATTCTAGTTATTTATTTTCGCCTATCTGCCTGAATACTAGGGGCATCTTATTAAATCCGGAGGACGTATACTTACTTTATAAGATTTCGCTAATATTCAGGTCGGTTTACGAAAATAAATACAATTTTATAAATAAACAGACCTTCGACTAAAACATTCGTATCGACTAAAAATGAATTTGGACTGATGAAAATCTCTCAGATTAATAAATAATAAAAAAAAAAACATTACTTTTTTAAAAGAAATTGCTTTGTCTACTTTTCGATACGAAACAGCAGATATGAAATATTCCAGAATCTATGATGCCAATTCCCTATTCTGTCTGTCTTGATCAGAGACATTCTACTTCGCTGAGACAGTCTAAGCACATCGGACCTAACGATGATTTCATTTGCATTGATAAAGTCCATCAGAGGACGAAACGCGTTGGTAAAAAAAAGGGTTTACATTTACCTTTATTCATATCATTTAAAAATGGTACTTATTTTAATACGACGTTATTTCTTATTGTTATAAACATTATTTTTGGTTTTAATATGACTCCTGGATTCATACGTTTGACATGCACACGCACAAACACAAGGACGCACACACAAAACACACACATCATCTATCTATCTATCTATCTATCTATCTATCTATCTATCTATATATATATATATATATATATATATATATATATATATATATATATATATATATATATATATATATATATATATATATATATAAATTTATACATATATATATATATATATATATAAATCTCTATTAAACATAAATATATATATATATATATATATATATATATATATATATATATATATATATATATGTATGTATGTCCGTATATAATTTTATCATTTGCACCCAAGCAAAGCGATAAACGCCACAAAGATGCAAATATACAATTACACGCAAACAAACAGATATATATATATATATATATATATATATATATATATATATATATATATATATATGTATGTATAGTGTATGTGTGTACGCGAGTAGGTTTTTATGTGTGGGTGTACATTGGTGTGTATTACTTTTTAGTTGGTTTCCATGTTTCATTTGACAACTTGTATTGTTTAATTTATTATACAGCGAAATTAGTAATTATACACACACACACACACATATATATATATATATATATATATATATATATATATATATATATATATATATATATATATATTGAGAGAGAGAGAGAGAGTGAGATAAAATGACGTATCGGTGAGATAAATTTTTGTGCGTTTTAGTGTATAAGTCAATTTTCTTAAATTTTAATCGTCTCCTTCTTCTCTCCTCTCTCTCTCTCTCTCTCTATATATATATATATATATATATATATATATATATATATATATATATACATGCATAGTACATCTGTTACACAGATTTGCATACATATATAGCATACATATATGGCATACATATATAGCACAGTTATTCAAATCTCAAGAGATTTGAATAACTGTGCTATATATATATATATATATATATATATATATATATATATATATATATATGTACACAACCTTATTTTAATGTTATTTAGAATTTAGACTTAAAAAAAGTGCATTATGTTAATTTTGGGTTTGTCTTTTATACATTCATACATACTTACGTGTGTACGGATTGTCGGACGGATTTGCAGACATACATTCTTACATAGGTATATTGTGGGCGTAATTTCAAACGACGGCCTCACCCAACGGGATATTTATCTTATCTGCTACGGAGCTTAACATTTTTTAGCATTCCTAATGTAAATCGCACATCGTCTCAGAATAGAGAGAAACATAGTAAGAGTTTGAAAGTTAGTTTTCCTCCTCGAATACAGATTATCCGCTTTGATGCAAATAAAAAAAAACAAACCCCAAAACCAAAAGGAAACAAAACAGATAAAACGCATTTTCTGATCCACCATGCGAAGAAGGTTATTCTATATTACTTTTTTTTTTTACAAACGAGCAGGTAGAAGAAGAAAAAAAAATTAAAAAATGAAGAGTCCATTATCTTCAGATTTGAGGGACGTTAAAATGGCACGGATTCCACGTTCACACTCTTTGCCGCTACCGAAAACCA